TGTAGTTACTAACAAAATGCCAGGTTGTGCAGTGTTTGGCAGCAAGAACTATTTAAGAAAAACAAAGAGAACAAATATTAAGTATTTTGGATTTCCGAAAACAGATATAGCCAAAGCCTGGGTCAACGGTTGAGGGTGAAAAGATACAATTAATTTGAAAAATGGTATGATTTTTGCAAACCTAACTTGAATATGATTAATTTTATGTCTTGTTTCTTATTTAAGCTTGTATTTGTTCCATACATTTTTCGAAGGATAGTTTTGAAATACCCTTACAACAGAGGCTATTAAACTACTCCACTAAGACTGGTAGAAACTTAAAAAAAACAGCAGTTCCTACTGAAAATCTCCCATTGAAAAAAAGACAATTGTCTGCAGAAAGTGAAGATAGATTAAGAAGGCAGGCAAAAAGATATCGACAAACATTTATTGAGAGCTTTGTTAATATTTCGGGGCATTCCAGACAATTGTCAACTGCAGATCAGGACAAGGAGAATCAAAGTTTGGAAACAGACACTCAAAATATATTGGTATCATCAGAACTAGAAACGTATGTACAAATTTACCTTATTAACAAAAAATGTGGCTTTGAAAAGAAAATTACACAACTTAGCATATACTAATTAACATTACAATCATTTCAAAACAATTTTTTTATTAAATATTAAACTTTGAAGTGATAATTGCTTTTAGTTCAATATTAAAAATTAAATTATTATTTTAGAGAAAACTATTAAGAGTCTTCGTGAAGAACTAAACAAAATTACTGAAAAATGCAACAAATCAAATATAGAAATACTTTCATTGAAAGAAGAAATTAGCCAGTTGAAAAATAATTCTCAAGTGGAAATTCAGGAAAGTAAAGTAAATGTTTCACTCCGGGTCAAATAAATGTTTTATACAATGAAAATAAAAAAAGAATTCGTTGAAGTTCGGATGACATAGCATCCACAATCTCCCTAAGAAGCATTCGTCCTAAGGCTTATAGATTTTAAGAACTGTTCATTATCCTTTACCTGGGTTTACTACCTTAAGAGACTGGCCTAAATGTTTAAATTTAGAACAATAAATATACATTATAAAGTGTTAAGCAAGATAAAGAAGTAAACATTATGTATAAACCATTTTTAAACATAAATAAATCAATTTAAAATAACACCTCTGTGCTTTTTATTAAAATAAAGTATGTTTTGCCAAGTGTTTCTATTTATTAAATACATAAAGGGGTTTACACCAGCACCCAACCATACAAGAAAGTAATTGATCTGTGCATACAAGTTATTGATATCCATGTTTGATGACTAATTTAAAATTAAATTATTACATTTATAATCTATAAAAGTGACCACATACTTGTTGTTCATATGCCTGTATGTAATCCAGTGTCCACTCTTTACATACTATGTCTATATGTTATATATACTAACTATTGTGATTTGTCAATAAAATGTCTTTCTTTTAACGTCACTCATAAGATTTGTTCTCCTGCATATTTAACAGGTTATGAGCCAAGCAGGCAAATAATTATAGTAAAAACGTTATTTTAAACATAATTGCTATCCATATTACCCATAAAAATGAGTAGTGCTCAATTAGTCATTGAGAAGCTGGAAGGTGTTTCCAACTGGCAGACCTGGAGTTTTGCAATGAAACATTACCTCAAGCAAGAAAAATTATGGAAAGTCGTAGAAGGATCTATGAATGATAAAGATCCTGATTGGAAAAATAGGGACGATTTGGATGAACTAGCTCTAGCGAAAATTGTTCTTCTAATTAAACCACATCTATATTCTCATGTAGAATCTGCTGCCAGTTCCAAGGAAGCATGGGATATTTTGTCAAAAACACTAGGAGATCGTGGGCTTATTGGCAGGTTAAATGTGTTACGACAGCTCTTTTCAGTTAAACTTAATAATTCCCAGCTAACATTCAAAGTGCGGGATAATGCTGGCCATGTACATTTTATGCCGGGAAAGTGACGATGATGGGAAAATATTGAAGGCCCATCATATATTTTATGCTACATGCCCAACATATGTTATCGCCAATGGGCCTGTCATGGCAACCTAACGGTTACCCGCCGATTAAATGATAGTGTATTGCACATCTGCTGGTTTTTTAACACTTTTCCGCCTCTATGACAAAATAATGTACTTATACATATTGTAATACCTAAATATCAAAAATAATAAATTAAAATGTTTAGGAAAGTCATATTAAATAGTCAAGTTGACGCAGTTGCTACCAAAATCTCCAAAATAATTTTACCAAATTTATTAAAATGTGTCCATGAAAATGTCGTGTATGTATAATTTAAATAACGCGCCAAGAAATCAATATAAAAAACAAAGAAACAAAACAGTGAAAAATCACTTATTCCCATGCTTATTCCTTATTTTCGTAGATCGTGGAGAATCTATGTGATCTCGTTTCATTGTTTGTAAAAGCAAGGTTGTCAAACTTAAAAAAATAGAACATAAGTTAAAAAAATATGGATAGAATTTTTTTTTAATTATATTAAAAAAAAAATAAACATACAAAAATGTAATGACATAATTTATTACCTTTACAGATTATACTTTAGAAATTAAAAAAAAGTATTGTTTGTCTAGAGTATAATATTGTGCGTCATTCTAGCTCATTCCGTTGTACGTGAAGTAAGGATTCAGTTGTATTTACAGCCAACCCGGCAACGTCGAATCAATTCATACATGAACCGACGGCACGCAACTCTAAACGCGATTGATGGGACCTGCACCTCTACGGCTAAATTTAATAAAGACGATATTTGCACAAACAACTTGATATTTGTCAGTTATTTAAAGATGAATAGACAGAGTGAGAAAAGCGAATTAGCTTTTTACTTTTTTTTACTTATTTGAAATGAGAAAGTAAGAAACAAGATTATGTCAGTGATCTCATCAGATCAATGATCACATAGCTTGATCATTCTGCAAGTTCAGTGCTGTGGACCTGAAATTAGGGATGCGCAAAATTTTTAAAACATCGATGTTGACATCAAATGATACATCGAATACAGACTATCGATGTTGTAAAAAAATCGGAAAGAAAACATCGATTTTTGTAAACATCGATGTTTTTTATAAACGAACAAATAAACAAGACAATGGAAAGAATCTTATTTATATTTATTATTATTATTATTATTAATAGACTCAAAGTTAGCGGCTGCAAAGTAGTACGATCCTTCTTGGATAATAAAATATGAAGTCTATGGTATGATCGTACCTCCGGCTGGAAGGTTGTAAAGTGGTAGGCGGGATCACCAGGAAGTGTCATTTGCAAGGATTTAGTTTAAAATTCCTGCAAACAAGACGTCAGACAACTGAAAGTTGTAAAAAATATCGACTAAAAACATATAAAATACACACACTTGACATGACTCTTTAGCTCAGTTAAGCATTAAACATGTAGTCAATTTTGCATTTCGCGACGCGGTTTTTTTTATTTTTTTTATTTTTTTATTTTTGAAAAATATGAAAATTCAATAAAAATACGGTCAAACGGGGTTAAGTGAATCACAGAGCTGTTTTTCTCAGAATATTCCAAAACTACAAATATTAAAAATCTGTAAAAAATAACGTATGTTGTTTGGGGATTACCTTTCACTATTAACCAATTTTTATATTTTTATTTTACTTAGAAGTGCCCAATTTTTTTTGGTAAAATGTGATTCACTTTACCCCTTATTTTGGGGTAAAGTGAATCATGGTTTAAATTGCAAAGATAATCACTTTGGCAAATGTCGGGGTAAAGTGAACCACTAAAAAATTATTTTAAACACTTGGTTGGAAAAACAAATAAATAAACGTAATACAAAGAACAAAAACGTTTATTTATAAATAGTAAAAAAAAACAGCATTTAATCATAAAGCAAAGAAGAAATTTACGAACTAAAAATATAATATTCATCACTTATAACGGAAATGACCAAATGGTTCACTTTACCCATTGTGATTTACTTAACCCCGTTTGACAGTACTATTGTTGTTTATTTATTTTAAATAAATTTTATTTAGAATAATAATAATAATAACACAAAAGTAAAAAAAAATAATAATAATAATTCATTGTTGGGTTCTAATTAACAGTGCTGTTCCTAAAGTAGCACTGGGAAACAGTAACAAAGCCTACACAGAACACGAGGCTAATGACCTTAGCAGTCGATGCCGATGACACCAAATTAAAAAAAAAAAATTATTATTATTATTAATCAGAATCGGTTTAGGCATGGCCTTTTTTAATACAGACGGCCATGGTTTAGGAAAAATGCGTTTTAAAACCAATTTTCAGCCTTTGAATATAGCAAAATACTAATTACCTACATTTTTGCTTCAAGGCGTCAAATCACGAGGCGTGTTTACTCACTTGCAACCATTTTTTGGAATGCCTGATTCTATTCGCCATGTAAAGAAAAGTGAAAATTATTATCGAATATTTCTGAGTCATTCTTGCATCATAAATCTGGAATACACTTTACGAATAATTTTGTCCAAATTTTAAATTTGTAAATCGAAAATAAAAAAATAAGTATCTACATATTAATAAAACTATTACCATAAAAAAAATATATCTCCGTCTATGGGCGGTAAATCAAATAGGTAGTGACTTTCGACAAGCAACCAGTAGTTTCCTACACCAATATTTTTCGAGTCCTTCAAAGAGAGGCCGAACTTTTTTTTGTATTTGCGGTATTCCTTTATAGTTGACTTATGACCAATTCCACCGTTGTGTTAAACGAAGTTTAAAATGACATTTTTTCATTAACAATGTCATTTTAATCTCCATTTAACACAATGGTGAAATCGGCCCTTATTGTTTTTAACTATATCCTGTTTAAATTTAAATGTAAAATTAAAAAACATCGATATTAGATAAAAAAACATCGATGTTAAATAAAAACATCGCATAAAAAAACATCGATAAAAACATCGATAATCGAAAGAGAAAAATCGATGTTTTTTTAACATCGATACATCGTGCGCATCCCTACCTGAAATGTGTTGTGTGTGTTGGTGAGATTTTTTAAGAAGAATTTATAATAAAATTGTTTTTTAAAATGGCTAGTGCAATTAACAAGTAAGTATATTATTATATATATTTATAACGGTGGTATTTGAATTATTTCTAAATTTCGTTTGCTATCGAAAAGCAAAATTAACTCAACTTTTTTGGTCAGTGTTTTATGGTATTGTGGTGGTCTTATTTGTTTGTTACACGTGCTAGCTTGTCGTTACTTCATTTTATTTTTAAACAATGTCTTCGCATTTTAAAGTTAGAAGCAAAAGTTCAATATATCGAGAAATCAAAAAGAGTCTAAATGCAATGACAACTATAATTAACGTTGATTATGCTGCAAAAAAGGTAAACTCCCAGAAAATGCTAGCATCTCAACGTGTGAAAATATTAGAGGCAGAAGAAAATGTGCTAGATGTTCCACAAACTTCATTTGAAACTGAAGAACAGTGTCCTCTAATATCTAATATAAGTAATGATGAGTTGGATTCTGATGATTGTTTTAGTGAGAGTACAAGTGATTTTATTAATTCAGACAACTCGGATAAAGAATGCTTCAAACAACGAAATATAAATACTAGTAATGTTGACAAAGCTGCACAGTTCTTAGGAGAATGGGCAATTCAATATAATATTGCTCATGTTGCTCTGAGCAAATTGCTTAAATGGTTATCATCAAATCCTGATTGTTCAACATTACCAGTTGATGCTAGAACACTTTTGAGAACTCCTGTAGAAACTGAAATAGAAAGACAAGGAGCTGGCCTGTATCATTATTTTGGTCTTGAAAAAAATCTATGTAAATTTGCTTATCAGCTCAAAAATATGGATAATTTTTTGCTAGATTTTGCAATTGATGGTTTACCTTTACATAAAAGCACAAGTACATCTTTTTGGCCAATTATATGTAAGATAGAAAATATTTGTACAAAGCCCTTATTCACAGTAGCTCTATATTGTGGACCTAACAAGCCACCATTAGATGAATTCCTTCTTCATTTCATCAATGAAATTGGTACATTAGAAAGAGATGGAATTATTGTATTAGATAAAAAATATAGTGTCAAAATTAGGAGTTTTTGTTGTGACGCACCTGCAAGGTCCTACATAAAAAATACTAAAGGTCATAATGCTTTTTATGGTTGTGATAGATGTTTTGTCCGAGGAGAAAGCTATAATAAAAGAACTGTTTTTTTGGAGAGTGATGCTTCTCTGAGAACTAATATTAATTTTAGAGAATCGAATAATATGATACAACATCGTAAAGGTTCTACCCCATTGGAAAAATTGAATATTGATTTGGTGTGTGCTTTTCCACTTGATTATATGCATTGTGTATGTCTAGGGATAATGCGTAAGTTGCTGTTCTATTGGAGAGATGGTAGTAGAATTTTTAGAATTACTGGTGATAGCCTAACACGACTAGAGAACCGAATAAAAGTTATTCAGAAAATATGGCCTGATGATTTTAATCGGAAACCTCGTTTTCTAAATGATCTTGAAAGGTGGAAAGCAACTGAACTCAGGCAATTTTTATTGTATATAGGCCCTGTAGTTTTAAAAGATATTCTTCCCCATTCATATTATAACAACTTTATGATCCTTAACTTTGCCATAACCATTTTGTTAAATGAGAATTTATGTAAAAATGATACTTACATTAATTTTTCAAAAACATTAATCAACACCTTTGTAAAACATGGAGTGTCATTATATGGAAAAGAATTTGCAATATATAATATCCACATTTTACTTCATTTGCCTGATGATGCTAAGAATTTTGGAAGTTTAAATAGTATAAATTCATTCTGTTTTGAAAACTATTTACAAACATTGAAGAAAATGTTGAGAAAATCCAACTTGCCATTGCAACAGATTGTAAGGAGATTAGGGGAAAGATTTGAATCTAATATTGATATGAATTTCAGTCGAACATCACCATATCTCACAAAAAATTTTAAAAATGTTTTGTTACTTCCAGATATATCTAAAAGATATAGACAAGAAACAGTGTTTAAGAACTTGCACTTAAATAATTTCATCTCATCAAATAAATTGGGAAATAACATTTTAATTTTAAAAGAAAGTTCATCTTCTGATTACTTTGTTGTTGAAGTGTCATGTTTCATTTCGACAAAAAAAGACATTTTAATTATTGGGCAGAAAATTAAAGTTATAGGACCATTTTATTTATATCCAGAAAATTCTACTATTTTATCTGTTTTTGAAGTATCAACAGAACGCAATAATTTATTCGAGATATTTTCTGTCAGGGATATTATGTATAAAGGAATGATTCTGCCATTGGACAACAAGATGGTGCTATTTCCATTATTACATTTATTGTGAAGTTGTTTATCCAAAGTCTAGACATTGGAAGTGTTTTGTGTAAAAATTGTACATATTTTTAAATTAAAAACTATATTTGAGTAGTTTTAAATGAGGAAGGACAAATTAAATATACTCTAGTGGAAGTTCTAATTAAAAAACTTATATTTAGTAAATTTGTTGATTATATTGTTTTCTTTGTGTATATTTTAGACAATACTTTGTTGTTGAATTTCCCAAAGAAAGGAAAGACGGGAATACTCCAATGGAAGTAATTCCCTGCTCTTGGCTCATTGAAGAAGATGGCCTTTGGCCAAATAATCTAAAAAGTAACGAGTTTAAGAGGGCCGTCCAAAACAAAACCACTATCCCAGTACGAGAATGTTTGTTATGTCCCATAAACATAAAGTTTAAAACAAGTAAGTATTTTTTTAATTGCTTGGATTTTACATATAGTCACATTAGTATATATGTAATTTTGTATTATTTATGTTATTAATTACTCATTTTTTAAATTAATATGGGTATAGCTAGTTTCATATAAAATCTGCTACCCAGATGGATATATTGTATGGCACATTATTTTCAATAAGTCAATTACTTTTTAACTATTAATTTCAGATAATTATGAAAGAGCAATTGAAAAAGTAAAAAAATTAGAAATTAATGAGACAAATAGCTCATCTGCAGTTAGTGATGATTTAGACTCACCAGGAAATCAAACTACAAAGAGAAGAATAAAAAGGAACACACTTTTAAATGATTTTGAATCTAACATAAGTGAATCATCAGATGATGACATTCCTTTTATACCAAAATTGCCCACATCAGGTACAGCTAAGCGAGCCACTTTCAAGATTTTTGATGAGGAAAATTCTGTTTCCAATGCAAATAGTAATAGTTCACAGATTACACTAGATGACACATTGACTGGGAACCAAAATGATGAACAAATTCAAACATTTTTTCAATTGTTGGAGTGTACTCAAAAAATGTCCTGTAAGTTATAATAAAATATATAGTTTTCTCCTTATGTTTGTATTCTGTAATCAGATATTTATTTACTACCCATACATTACAGAAATGAATGGACAAGTTTGAACAAAAATAATAATTTAAAATTATGACGTTAATTTTTAAAAATGGTATATGTAATGATACAAAATTATATAAGAAAAATATACCTTATTTTATAGGCAAACTAGACAAAATGATGACCAAAATTGAAGTGATTTCGAAGGAAATGCAATATTTAAGAATCCTAGTACAAAAAAATAATAGTTCCAGTAATAATATACAGGATGTTGATAACCAAAACTTAAAAAATTTGCCCGCAGTTAACCATAATAATTTAATTGAATTTGACAAAGCATTAGATAACCAGGAGGTATTTGCTGATATTGTAAGTATATTGACTAAAAATCGTTTGGTAAACAATTCTTCAAATTGATAGATTGCCACATTAACTTTTTTAGATCTATTAAATATTTGAATCATTTTAAATTAAATAATTTGGACAATTGGCAAAATTGATGAAATTTATTGTGTAATTTGAAAGGATATTAATATAATAAAGAAAAATTGTTTATGGTTAATGTATATTTTTATATAATAAAAACTGCTTAAATTTGACCACTGAAAAATAAACTACCTTTTTTTATTTTTAGTGCACTATTTTCAAAGCTGTAGGAGGAAGAGATTATTTGGATTGTGTAAGAAGAGTTCTAATGAAAACAGTCTCTCATACATTAGCGTTACAAATGAATTGGTCAGGGCGAAACCAAAAACTTAAATTTATGGAACTAAAAAATTTAAGAAAAATGATATTAGGTAAGTTAAAATGTTTATATTTCATGTCTAATTAAAATCAAATAATGTTGTAACGTTATAAAGCACTCTGCAATATTTTCTAATGGTTAAAAGTTCATTTTTAATTTAGTTATGTAGTGTTATGTGGTGCACTGGATTACTGATAAAATTAACATTTTTTCCTGCAAGAGGTACCTCCCTATAAAATTAAAATTTCAATAATGTGTCATTCATGGTACATTCTCTACATATTTTATTGGTTACTATTTTGTGATACCTTACTGAATCGGTCATTTAAGAAACAGCACGTATCAGTTGTATATCGTTTTTCAAAAAATTAAATTGAAAATCTCGTAACTTGGTTAAATAAATAATTTTGTACTCTTAGAGTTTAAAACTTGCTCTATTTCGGGCATATTACAATTATTTAAGCAAAAAAATTTATCGGTAACAAATCATGGTTGATTAAAAATGAGCAACATGTGATGTTTCTGAAATGGCCAAACATGTGACGTTTCTCAAATGACCGATTCAGTTATAGTGATGTTAAAGTATTGAACAGTACCATTTTTTTGACTACATTTACATATTTATATTGACTTTATGTAAAACAATTGAAAATGTGTAGTTATCCGATAAAATAAAATTCTAAAAAATATTAGTTGATGAGTTTATGCTGCAAATCAACAATGTAATTGGTTAATATTTTAAAACTTTGTTTTTAGCAGTGGTCCGAAATAATCCATTATCAAAAAATACCTCTGAACAAGAGGTAGAGGCTGTTATAAAACAGTGGTTGCGAGCTGCAAGTGACAGAGAGGGAGGCAGAGAAAGGAGAAGACCACTCACGCAATAACATTTATTAAAATATTTTTGGCATTTTACATAACATTTTTTTTAATACATTTTTCAGAATAAAATTTTGATTTTTAACAGTGTACCTAGTTTATTTTTATATTTAGAGAGTACCTACCTGTTTATAAATTCTATTGGAAAATAATCTACACATAGTTTTCTAAATTTTGAATAAAAAAATTGGTACGTGCAAAGAAATTATATGGTATAAATATTAGTTATTCTTTCTATATTTTATATGGTATAAATATTAGTTATTCTTTCTATATTTATTTTTTGCATTTGTCAAAGCAGAATTTCATTTTTCACTCCCATCTGGGACTGGGCAATTACTGGGCCTCTTCAAAATTTAATGATGGCGATTTATAGGGCATGCAATAAAGTTACTTATGATATGAAGGGCTTTTGAAGGGCATTTGTGTCTCAACTACCGGGAAAGTGTCTGCGGGAAGATGATTGTTGTAGTAGCATAAATATGCCGGCCCGGTGCAGTGCCCCTGCAAATGGCCGACAAATGAAATAACGGGGAGATTGTAGAAGGCCAATATCTTCCCTTACCTTAATGTTAGCTGGGTTACAGAAATATGTCCGAGTGTGTAACTGATATTGCAAGTTTAACACAAAAGCTAGCGAATATGGGCCATTCACTTGAATCCGAATTTGTTGCTGTAATATATCTTAGTGGTTTACCTAAATATTACGACCCATTTATAATGGGCCTTGAATCATCTTCAAACAAATTAAATTCTGAAGACATTAAACAAAGACTTCTGAATATGGAATTTAGATTAGATAATCAATCTGATAATACCACGGTTTTTTATGGAACTAAAAAGAGTAACTATCAGGAAAACCAGAATAATAATCAAGACAAAACTCATAATAAGTATAAGAAGAAGTACAAATGTAATATTTGTAAGAAATGGGGTGATCATAAAAAGGGGGATTGTCCACAGAAGTACGATGACTCTTCACAGAACAAAAACAACCCAAGTTCATCTAATAGCAGATCAAATGTTCAAGCTTTTATGACTTCAGCTGATTCTCAGTATGTTTTAATGGCTAATATGAATAAGAGATATGATCGTGAGTGGTTTATAGATTCAGGTTGTTCTATGCATATGTCTCTTTACAATGATTGGATGGATAATTTTAATTCTAATACTCCTTCTACTGAAGCAATTTGTGCAAATAAAGAAACGATTTTTTCTCAAGGTACGGGTGATATTCCAATACTTACTGAAACTGGTATTAAATGTGCTATTAATACTTTGCACGTACCAGAATTATCCACAAATCTTTTATCTGTTAGTAAAATGACAGATAGAGATTTAATTTGTGTTTTTGATAATAAAGAGTGCAGAATTTACAATAAAAATGATATTCAAATTTTTGGTAAAGAATGTGCCACAGCCAGTAGATTTAATGGCATGTATAAATTAAATACCATTTCTACTTTAAATTCAGAAATTAATTATAATTCTGAATTTGTTCATACTGCTAATATAACTTGTTCAAAAATATGGCATAAGCGTTTAGGTCATTTAAATAGCAAAAGTATGAATAAATTAAAAGAACTTGTAAAAGGTATAAATTTTAAAGGAACTTTTAATGACCCCTGTGTTAGCTGTTTAAAGGGAAAGCAAACAAAACAACCATTTAATAAATCTAGTTCAAGGACAAAAGAAGTTTTAGGGCTTGTTCACTCTGATTTAGCAGGTCCGATGGAAACTCAGTCCATTGGAGGTTGTCGTTATATGCTTATATTCGTAGATGATTTTTCAAGAAAAATATTTATATATTTTTTAAAACATAAATATGAAGTTCTTGAAAAATTCAAAATTTTTAAAGCCATGGTAGAAAACGAAACTAATAAGAAAATTAAAATTCTTAGGTCTGATAATGGCGGCGAATACATAAGTAATAATTTTAACGATTTTCTAAGTGAACATGGAATTAAACATAATGTGACAATTCCAATGACTCCTGAACTTAATGGTGTAGCTGAGAGAGCGATTCGTTCCATTTGCGATAAAGCAAGGTGTATGTTAGACGAGGCTGGACTTCAGAAACAATTTTGGGCTGAAGCCTGCAATACTGCTGTCTATTTACTTAATCGATCGCCTCATAGTAGTGTTTTAAATGTCACTCCTGAGGAAGCTTGGTCAAAAATTAAACCAGATTTATCAAATCTTAAAATTTTTGGTTGTCGAGCATTTGTCCATAAACCTGACCAACTTCGACAAAAATGGGATACTAAAAGTAATGAATATATTTGTAGGATATTGTGAAGACTCCGTAGGATATAGAGTATACAAAGATGGTAAAGTGACGCGTGCTAGAGATGTCTATTTTCTAGAAAACTCACAACTTTCAGATAATCAGTTGCTAGCTGAAGCTTCAACATCAACTTCGTCTGTTGTCGTAAGCTTGAAGCCTATTCAGCATCAGCGACCTGAACTAAACACTTCTGAAGTGGGTGATGTCGAATCAAAAAGTACCACAGATGTTGTCTCTGAAGAAGAAATAGGTTGTAGATATCCTCTTAGAAACCGTTTAAATAATAATCATGTGCATTATACTGACGTTCAAGAGACTCATGATCCTATAACTGTATCTGAAGCTCTTGAAGGGCCCGATAAGGACAAATGGTTACAGGCAATGTCAGAGGAATATAACTCCTTGATTGCTAAAGAAGTTTTTACATTAGTAGATAAGCCTAAAAATGTAAATATAATACCATGTAAATGGGTTTTTAAACAAAAAAGGAATTCCGAAGGCAAAACTTTAAGGTACAAGGCCAGGTTAGTTGCTAAAGGTTTTGTACAAAGGTATGGCATAGACTATGAGGAAACTTTTGCACCCGTAGTAAGACATGAAGTACTAAGAATGCTTATAGGTCTTGCAGCAAAATTAAATCTGAGTATAGACCATATGGATGTACAAACGGCTTTTCTAAATGGCGAACTTACCGAAACGGTTTATATGCAACAGCCTGAAGCTTTTATACAACCAAATTTAGAACATAAAGTATGTTTTTTAAAGAAAGCTATATATGGCTTAAAACAGGCTTCCAGAATGTGGAATATTAAAGCACATAATATATTGCTAGAGTTAGGTTTAAAACAAAGTAATTACGAGCCTTGCGTTTACTACAAAATTTCTGAAAAGACTATATTTTTTCTCGCACTGTATGTGGATGATTTCTTTTTATTTTGCAATAACGAGAAAGAGAAGCTAACTATTAAGTCAAAGCTAATGTCATTTTTTCATATGAAAGATCTTGGTAGAGCTGAATACTGTTTAGGTATCAGAATTACCTACAATGATTCAGATTCAGGTAATAGCATAAAACTTGACCAAACTCATTATGTCCATGAACTTTTGAAAAAATTTCAAATGGATGAGTGTAAACCCATTCGAACTCCAATGGAATCAAACTTAAAATTGATAAAATTTGATGGAGTATTACCTGATGTACCTTATCAATGTCTCATTGGAAGTCTTATGTACTTATCAATTTGCACTAGACCAGACATTTCATTCGCTGTAAATTATTTAAGCAGGTTTAATAACAGTTTCAGTAAAGAGCATTGGAATCATGCAAAAAGAATCCTGCGCTATCTAAAAGGTTCAGCGGATCAAGGATTAGTTTATACATCTAGTGGTTGTGATCTTACAGGTTTCATAGACGCAGATTGGGGGTCTGACATCGAAGATAGGAAATCTTTAACTGGTTACGTGTTCATGTTTGCTGCTAGCTCGATATCTTGGGGAAGCAAAAAGCAGTCTTCTGTTGCTACATCTAGTACTCAAGCAGAGTATGTTGCGTTATCAGATGGCTTAAAAGAAACCTTATTCCTTCGATGGGTTCTAACAGAACTATATAAAGTAAATGAATCAACCATTATTTACTGTGATAGTCAAAGTGCTATTAAATTGGTAAATAATCCTGTATATCACTCACGGACTAAACATATTCATATTAGACATCATTATGTCCGAGAAGTTGTTTCTGAAGGAGAAGTTCAAATACAGTACATGCCTACAGATAAAATGGTTGCTGATATTTTTACAAAATCCCAAAGCAGAATCAAATTCGAAAATTGCAAGAGAAGACTTGGTATGACTACAGAGACTGAGCCACTGTCTTAAGCGGGTGTGTTGTTCATATGCCTGTATGTAATCCAGTGTCCACTCTTTACATACTATGTCTATATGTTATATATACTAACTATTGTGATTTGTCAATAAAATGTCTTTCTTTTAACGTCACTCATAAGATTTGTTCTCCTGCATATTTAACAATACTTCCAAACTGATTATTTAAGAAAATTGGCGACTAAAAAAATATACTGATCATAATAAAATTCATTTCACCTTAATTTTATTGTTCAGCATTCGTTAACATTATACACAAGTTTACTTGAATCGATTCAAAATTATTTATTGTTGAAGAATTAATTACATTCTTATTAACAAAGATAGATAACATAAGTTAAAATTCAAAGGAAAAGAAACAAAATACTTATTCATAAATGAAATTTTTTAAATTCTAATATCAAGACAAAATATAATATAAAAACAAAAATGCACAACCTAAGTACAAATATGACAATCGAGAAATATATATACAGGAGTATACACATAAATTAAAATGAACTACTTAATTCAAGGAATCAGAAAAATTTATCCACTTTGTAGTATACCTTTTTGAGCAAGAGTTTCTTGCTTTTTAAACATATTTAATGAGTCAGCACTTCCTATTATTAATTAATTGGCAAGAGGTTAAACATTTTTCCACTATACAGGGGACACTACATATTTCAGTTTCACATTTAAATTAGTTATTTGTGTATGCCTTTTATTAGTTCCAATTTTTATCCCTGCTGAGCCACTAAAACTTTTTAATGGTAATGTCTCTGTAAGTTTAGGTACGTTTTGGCTATCATCTTGATCTCAATCTATCAGATAGCAATGCTAGGTATGAAGATTTAAATCCTAGATGTAACATCCTCTTCAAAGTTTTGTGATGGAAAAATTCAATTTCTGATGAACACTATCTTTTTTACGCCAGAGAGAA